CAAAGAAAGGATAGAGTAGCTCCGCCCAACGCGCGTCAGAGCCACTTTTTCGACGGCGCAGCTGGAGCAGCAAAGCTTCTTCAGCCGCGCGTCAGAAGCTGGTACAAGCAGCAAAAAGGAAGCAGCAGACGTGATTTTGCTGCTCCTGCTGCGTCCGGTTTGAAAGAAGCATGATTCACTCCGCTCTGGCTTTGCTCTGCCCACGGGCTGCTGAGAGGAGGATGGCTGAGCCGGCTGCGGTCCGCTCTTCTTGCAGTCAAACATCGAGCAACTTTCTGCTCTTAAATTGTTTCCGTGCACGATGTATTGCATTGCGCACTATTGGCATCAGTCTTAATAAAGTGAAGCCACACTTTTGACCTGGGGGGCATTTTAAAGGGGTTCCATGACGCTCACAACCAGTTCACAACAGATACACATGAACCCTGGCTGTAGGCGTGACCACCTGTGTATTTTTCCTGGATGACGCAATCACGTTAAGTGTTACAGCCAATCACCGAAACTTGGTACCGAAAGACGAGGCATGTTTCGATACTCTGTAGAACCGAAGCATTTCGGTCGGTACCATAAAAGAACCGATGTTTGGTAACCAGCCCTATACACGTCTACCTTAACAAAAGTTTGTTCAAAACATGATCTTTCTCATGCATCAGACCTTTCTGCGGACAGCTTCTGGGTGATCGCTCAAAAAGTGGACTGTCCCTGGAAAACGGGAATGTCTGATCGATCTAAACTTGCTTTTTAGAAACAAATCCTTGCATATTAAGTTGTGTTTTTTTTACTCTGTCAAGGGTGAGATCAGTGTCGGATCTAGACCAAATTTTTCAGGGTCATAATATTTCTAAAAGGGGGCAAAGAACAAAAAGAACAATACAATATTAAGCAATAAAATGCATTATTTATATAATACAGCAATTGTTACAATTTATATTTGCATATAATCCATAAGTATAATATATATAATCCATATATTAGTGTATTTTAAACCTTTACCTACAGCAACATGACTATTGGTGAGCCTCAGCACCGCTGTGGCTGGAAAACCTTTTACCGTAAATCCACGATGGTTTGCTGAATCTCAAAAAATACAACACTGATAGAGAGCAAAGATTTAGTGCTTTCAGTCAGTTTATAATACGTAGGGTATATTACACTATTTGGGATCAGCAACAAAGAAATACAGCCTGGATAACAACAGACAGGACGGAGAAGGGAGAAAGGAAAATGCAGGCAATGGACCAGTGATTGTCGGCATAAGTCGGCAGTGTTTCTATGTGTTTTTCTGTGTTTCTGTTTATGTCCGTGGTGGAGGTAATAAACTAATGATTTCTCATCCTCTGGTAAAGAGGGGCAACAGCTTTTTTCAGGGAATTTGACAGAATCCCGCATTCCGATAATGAGGCGCACTTGGGTGAAAAACATCCTTAAAGTCGTAGGGAAGCGGTGTAGAAGGCTTACAGCCGTACATGTTTGAGCCCTTGCCTTGCATGACTCTTATTTCAACCATTGTGTATATTAGCTGGGTCATGTTTTTGGACTGTGGGAGGAAGCCGGAGTACCCGGAGAGAACCCATGCATGCACAGGGAGAACATGCAAACTCCATGCAGGACCTTGGGCTGGGAATCGAACCCGGTACTTTCTCGCTGCAAGGCAGCAGTGCTACCCCGAGCCAGCTGAGCAACCCCTGAAAAACAAGATTACAAATAAAAAACTTGATTATTTGGATCCTACCTTGATGCTGTCTCTCTGTTTTTGATGGTTATAAACATGAATTTTCTTCTTATGGTTTGACGACCAGAGGCTCAGAGGAGGATTGAGGAAAACTTAGATCAGCTGTAGATCCGTTAATTTAATATTGTTTTACCGTGAAGCATTGCGGGATATTCGGTCTTTATTTAGTTGTCACTATTTGTCTTTCTCATAGTTCTATGGCTCTGCCAGCAGAGGGCGCCAGTCTGTGTATATCTGCTCATTGCAACCGGTGCCAGAAATCTATTTAGGCTTAGAAAGGAAAAAAATCTAAACACTATTAGGATGGTGATTGGTCTATATGACCTTATTTTATTATGATTAAATGATTTTAGGCATTTTTTGCAAAGGAACATAACACAACTACACACCGTTAAAGCAGCAGTTGGATGAGGGACAGCTCTGCTTTAGAACTTTATTGAACAGGACTTTATGTTTTAAGGATGATACAGAAATTTGGCTCTGAAATATTTCCATTTCCTTCCTACTTAACAATGAATATTTCTAGTCTTTGTCTCTACTTCCATCATGTTAAAAGTATCAAGACACACTTAAACAAATCTTATTGAGTCCAAAATGGAAGTTTTTTGGAGCGGATGCACACTGGAACAGCTGGAATAAAGAGTAGAAACACAGACAGATGGGTTTCTTATCTCCAGGAGAAGAAGCATTTTCATATTCTGCATAGAAAAAGCTATTTAAAATGAGAATAGATTAAATGGAATTATGACCTAGTTGAATAAAGATGTGTTTTTTTTTTTTTTTTTATCTTTTGGTCATTTTATTTTCTCCATGTGTTTTCCAACCCAAGCCAATCATGTTCTGCATCCTGTGCTTTTTAAATTTAAAGGCACACTATGCAACATTTTTCAGTTAATTAATGTGTTCCATAACGTTTTGGATGATTAAATGAGTCATTTCAGGTTGAACAAAGGTTTTCTCGGCCGCCCTGGTGGTCTGTGGGGGAAATACCGCACTTGCAACTGCAGGAGCACCGACCCGCACCCACAGGCTCAGAAGTCTCGTGAGAGTCAGTCTTGCTTTACGGCGAGAACTGCTACACGCCCCCAGTTAAAAGCATTCTCGTTGCTAGCACAGTGGCGATCTTTGTGCAGTTATGCTACGTTCACGCAGCAAAAGCAGCAAAATCGCGTCTGCTGCTTCATTTCTGCTGCTTGTACCAGTTAGTTCTGATGCGCGGCTGAAGCAGCTTTGCTGCTCTGGCTGCGCGGTGCAAAAGTGTGTCTGACGCGCGTTGGGTGGAGCTTCACTATCCTTTCTCTGCCTTGCAGCTATATTTGCTGTGATCAGTGGGAATAAAGTAGGTTTAATATGTTTTTAAGTGAGAAAATACACCTGAAAACGTAATCGGTGCCGTCAGTTCATTCAGATTACAATCCTGCCTCCCAATGTTATTTCTGTCGGAGCCACTCAGACCCCCACATACCAGCGGTGCGCTGACAGAAGGGAGCAGCCTCTGGCGGGGTTGCCTCCTCGCGGTTCACCACGGCAGCTGGTAGGTGTTTTTCATCTAAATAATCCAAACTGCATATTCTGCCGGCAGATTTCTGCATTTTAAGTTCATTTAGGCGTCAATAAACTGTTTAAGAGGAGTGATCATCAGCGCCGTGTCTCTCTCCCTGCGTCAGATGCTTAGCCCGACGCCCGACGCGCTGCTTCAGCTGCTCAGACGCGCTGCGCCTGCTGCTCAAAACGCGCCGCGGGACCTTTTGCTGCGCCTTGACGCGCGTCAACCATTGACTTTGCATGTAAACTCGCTGCTTCTGTCGCGCCAGCTACGTCCAGTGTGAACGCAGCATTAGTCATTCGCTGCTAAGCTCAAAACAACCGCACCTGGCTTGATGGAGAAACCAGGAGAACAGCTGTGCATATTTACGACAGTGCACTTTTACTTTCGCCCTCTGGGGGGAGCCTCACTGGAAAATCAACACCGGTTGCATAGTGTACCTTTAAACAAGCTAATGAGATTATTGAGAAATATTCTGATAATCAACATATTATAATAAGGGAGACCATGATCTGTTGCAACAGCGGACATTTCTTTTTTCTCCAATGAGAAACAAGTTAGAGTGATGACACTCATGACGTCACTGTAGCTCTGGCAGGGCTGTTTACAGTATCCTAAAGGTCATCCGATGTTTCCAAGAGTAATAAAATACCGGAGAACATACAAAATGCATCTGACAAGTGGTGTATTTAGGTGTGTTGTAAATAAAACTGTAGTATTTATTATGCTTGATTCAATTTTGGCAGAATTCTCTCTTCATAAACATGGTTTAAAAAAATTAAGGCTGAAATTTTATAGTTATAACTTGTTAAATATATGCAAATCTAAAAATAAAACACCTTTACCCACAAATTTGACTTTATTATGTTACCGTCTTTATCATCAGGACTCAACTAACTTTTTTAGTCCTGTGTTTCTTGACTCTTAGATTGCAAATTAATTTATAAAATCACTGTACAAAAATCTGTTAGATGACATTGTTAACATAAATCAGTCTTTTTGCCTCCTTGTAATGTCTCTTAGAGTTCTTTATTAATGTAAGCTAAGAAAAGTGCTGCAGTCTTAAAAATTATATTGGAATATTTCATACTGTATACATATATGTATTTCAACTATGATACTGCAGAGTTTGGTTGAGGTTTGAGGACCCAAATGCAGAGGCAGAGAGGCTGAGGAGATTTCTTGCAGTTTAATGGGGAAAAAAACTGTAAACAAAGGCAGGAATCCAAAAAACCAACTAATAATGTAAAATAAACCAGACCTATGGAGAAATCTGGGGAAACCAAACACGAGGAGCCAGGGAGAGACGAGGTAGGTAGACAACAGCATGGGAGGACAGCAAAGACAAGGAACCAACAAAGAGTGAGAGCAGAGGGAGAGTATAAATAGCTGACTGAGACAAAGGGAGGGCTAACGAGCTGACAAGGAGCAGGTGTGTGAGGAGACAACGAGGGAGCCAAGGGGAAAGGAATACACACACACAAGAGGGCAACAGAGAGCAGAAAAACATGAGAACTAACATAAATCTAGAAATTACAAAAAAAAGGAATTAAACCAATAAAACTAGAAAAAAGGAGCAAAGTAAAGCACAACAGAACCAAGACCATGACAGATATAAAATATTTATCTTAATATCCTATGAAGTATTTATAAAAAAAGCCACCTCTGATGGAATGTGATTAAACAGGTAAAACCTTGTCATCGTTTTTCTCTCGCTCATAGCACTACTTCCTCATCATTTTTGGCCACGAGGGACAGAAACCTTTGGAGCTGCGGTCAGAGGACGAGTCGGACTGCAACGAGTGGGTGGAAGCCATCCAGCAGGCCAGGTATATTTCCTTTATGGGTTTTATTTGATCATTTTCAGGAAAAACTTCTATTTTAATTCTAGACATATTTACTGTATAATTTTTTTTTTATTTTACCTCTTGTATTTCACTGTGTCAGATATTTATCCTCTTCAGGCTTCTGACAAATGCTTATCAAATGTGTTTATTACAGAAACATGACTGTGTGGTGACTTTATGCTAAGTGTCTAATGGATGAATTAGACATAACAGCTCTAACGGCCTCTGAAACAATAAATAATTGGCACATCTAAAATAGAAAATTTGGAGCCATTGCACTATTATTGTTGGAAGCACCACATTTTGTAAATTGAAATCCTTTCCAGATATGATAATTTTCAATCAAAATGAAAGGTTTTTAGAATCATTTTGCTATTTCCTCAGATTTTTCAACTTTTTTCTTTTTCAAATTATTTGAAACATTTTTTTATTGCTTTTAAAGGTTGACATTTTTATCATGTTGTTGTTGTTTTTTTTTGTTACGTTTTACAAATTGCATTCTCTTCAAATAGCTTTTTACAAATCACATTCACTTCAGCTCAAGCCTCAGTGAAAACGCTCAGTCCTGATGCTCACATTGACCAATAAATAATTGAGGAGAATGTAAAACACAATGTTGAAAGAACGCAATTTATTAAACAAAAAGTTGAAAAGAGAACATGTGAATATATACATCTAAAAATAGTAAAGAAAATATTAGAAAAATTAAAATATGAAAAAATACATTTCAAAATAAGCTTATTTTGTTCTTTGCTTGCAACAATAATGGAACAAAATTCTCTCTGTAAGCAGATGTCTGAGCTCAGCATTTCTTGGAAAAATGTCTGCTGTACTTTTGTAAGCGATGTTAGAGTCTGAATCTGGTCCGTCGGTGTGAGATTAAACCCTGACCGCTTACACAGAACATCCAATACCACAAGATCATGTCCAGCGTTTAAGGAGATTTAAACTGCTGGCGCAGCTGATCTGTCACATATAATTGCAAAGAGGAGACAAGATTGTTTTTGTTTTTTGCAAAATGTTCAGCACCTATTAAGTAAATTGTTTTCTTTCCAAAGAAGTTGTTTCCAGCTCTGATCCTTGGGAGCAACTTTCTGCATGTTTTCCTATTTGTTTTGCTTTAATATTCCTGTACAGCTGTTATCAGAGCAGGGTCACAGGAGGTGCTGCATCGACGTCAGCACTACATGTAAAGCTTACAGGGAGGGAAAATAATGGTCTGTGCACTGATCTGATCCTCGCAGATAAATGATACAAGTTTAAATTGCATATCTCCCGTTTTAACTCTTCTCTTAGGAAATAATTAAAAGTCTTGTTTTTGCTGGAAATCCTTCTGCACGCTGGCTGTGCAAACTCTACATTAGAAATTAATTTAGCCAATGTTGGGCTGCGGGTTGCTGAACCCATCTGTGTCCGTCATAATAATACAGAGCGAATGTACAAGTGTAGTAAGTGGGAGAGGTCCACTATGAATTATGCAAAATATAAAGTATCTATCTATCTATTTATCTATCTATCTCTCTGTCTGTCTGTCTGTCTGTCTGTCTGTCTGTCTGTCCAAAAGTTGTTGTTTTTTTGTCTGTCTATCCAAAAGTTGTTGTTTTTTTTACCGAGGGGGAAAAGTGTTTTTTGGACATGTTTGAAGTCACACAGCTCTCGTTGTGTAAAACCTACAGAGTCTGTAAACATCTCCAGAAACTAGAAGGTCTTAGCTTTTAAATGAGATGTATGACAAGCATGTGGAATATTAAAATTAAAATCTCCACTTTTTTTTTACTAGCTCCAGAGGCGAAAATCTTTAAAACAATAATTTGAGCGTAACAATTAAATGTTTCAGAAGTGTTCACTGCATATTCTGCTAGCTGCAGCTGGTTCTGTCTCTTCATGGCAGCCCCCCCCATCTCACTCACCTTTCTGGGTCAGTCAGGAAGCTATAAAATGGGATGCCTTCTTTTCTTCTTTGTTGGTTGGTGCTGTCATATGTTGTTGTTTTTGTTGGTGTTATTATGATGATAAGGAGAGAAATGGCAAAAGCTGCTGGTCTTTTTTCTACATTCGGAATGTTTGTGATGCCGTCCAAGAAGGAGGAGGAGTTGCGAGTGTCATGTGATCGGCTGACGTCAGCTACAAGTCCCCTATTAAACACATGGAGACATGGAAAGGTGCGTTAACAGGTGCGCAACAGTGCGCAACAGTGATTGTTGGCCTCTATGCAAACTTCAGAAAACGTCATGATTACCAGTGAAGATGGTTAGACTCCTATTGTTGTGTTTATAGTCAGATACATTTATTTTAATAATAATTATGACTTTAGAGAGTGTTTGCAAACAAAATGCTGAGCAGTTGGTGATTAAAATAGTGAAATAGGAAATAAAACAATATGATTTAAAAATGGATAAAAACAGGTAAATACATTAAGAAAAAGAAAAACACCAGTATTAAAACAGTATGGGAGGAATGCTTGATTTATTTAATTTTGGAACATCAATGATTAACGTCTCATTCAGAATAACTACAACGTTTCCATGCATGTTAATCCAATTGTCAGTTAGCATAAAACCACCACTCAGTCTGAATGCAATTTCATTCTAATTGTGATGAACTGATCAGAATATCCCGACTGGCAGAACGTGACACGTTTAATTCAATTGGCCATTTATTCCCGTTATTTATGTTACTGCTATAGATTTAAACAAATGATTACCGGTACATTTACGATTATTTGTGGATTAATGGTTTATTAAAATTAGTTTGACCCAATTAACTGATAACGTCCACTTAAACAAGTGAATGCCCTAGTGTGGTTTGCTGTAAAATTAAAATTCAATTGGCCTCTCACCCTAGCACTGTCATTTATAACTAAAGGTGTCAAGGGTAGCAGCCCAGCTGATATTTCCCTCCAGGATGGTGTGATAGCTGAACAGAAACCAACCGAAGAAACAGATGATGCTACTATGATGTACAAAACCACCATTTACACCATCACTCTGACTGGGTCTTGGCTGCGTCCAGGGGCACCGGACGGTCCTTTTGGCCTGGGGGGGGCTGATGCTGTACCGTGCCGATAGAGGCAAAGAGCTCTGCGTGAATGGAGTCTCCTCTGAGACTGTTTCAAGAGCCCTCTGCAGGTGAAAATGAGAAGAGCACCCTAGATGCTTCCCTGCCAAATGCTGAAACATCCCCAGCCGGCTTCCACACCTTCTCCAGCGTCGTCTGTCGCTGCTAAACCTGCCGATGGCTCCACTGCTGCCTCAACCACATTAGCCTCTTCAACCCAGGGGGCTACCACCCTCACAACATCATCATCATCGTCCTCTTCCTCACCTGAGCCAGGAGAAGCCAGTGCTTCAGGAGCTGGAGGCAGTAGTAGCAGTTCAACAGCAACTGCTGCTTAACTTATCAAGGCTGCACTTTAAAAAATGAAATTTTCGAGAGAGCTGTTCTGAACGAAATTTCTTTTTGTTTACACTTGTGTATACAAAATGACTAAATAAATCTAAGTCTAACCCGAAAACTTAATTTTTTCAAGTCAGTGTTTATATAAGAGGCTGGTTTCATTCAACTGACATCTGGGTTACGGGCTAAGCGCACCTTTGTTGCACCACTCTGCTTGCAAACACCTCAGAAGGGACTTGAACCCACAATCCTCTGTGTACGGCTCTCATAACACTGGTGGACCTTGTAGGCAGTCTCATAAATTGAAGGTTAAGAGTTCAGCCCTCTCAAGGGTCTAATTTCCCACTCAAATGGCTAAATGGATCCGATCTGACTACAGATCAGAAGAATCAAGGTTTTACTCCTGGCCATCAAAGTTGTCTTATCCCTGTGTGCCTAATACTAGTCCTCTGGTCCGCCATTCTCCCACACACTTGAAATGAATGCAGTTTGACACCATGTCATTATTGTTCAAAATCCAACCCAGAAGGGAGAAGAACAGGTACAAATAGCCTGTCATTGTTCAGGGATGCAAGTCTTTGAAGATTCACAGTTATGTAGGACTTGGTAACTTGAAAAGACATTCAAATAAACTACTGCAGTCAAGAGTTGCTGTTTAAAAACTTTGTACTCTTCATCTGAAGGGCCTATTCAGTTCACAGATAGTAGAGGGATCAAACTCAACATGCCTCACCTTTTGGAGAAGCTCAGTTCTGCATAGTTTAGTTCACATTGGACACCCTTTACAAGAAGGCAACTTTAGCATCATTTTTGGCTTTGCTTACAGAGAGATGGTTGTTTTTACTATATAGTAAAGAACATTGGCTCTAGCACTGATCCCTGTGGAACTTTACAAGTATCACTGGACCCAATTGTTGTGCTCTGTAGCAATCTGTCTCACAAAGAGATGAAAATCTAGATGGCTGCCATGCTGCTTGCTATCCATGCGGATAAAACCATCATCTGGTTTTGAACACAGGTGATTTTTTTACTTCTACTTTTTTTTTGTATATATTTTTTGTAATTTTACTTAAAGTCTCAAGGAAACAACTAGCGTCCTGTAAAGCAGGGGTAGGCAAGATAGTTTTCACAATCATTTAGATGTGATTCCTAAGGGATATGAACTGCCAAAATATATTATAAAAAAGTAGACATAGTATTAATTTAGTTCAATCTGAAAAACTCACACGGAGAGAAAAGACAATTAGAAGAAATTTATTGATACAATTACTTTAGGTTTTTGATTGATATGCATAAACATGTGGTGGAGTGGAGATAGATGAAGTTGGTCAGTCTGTAGACTGCTGGTTAGCGAGACGCTATGTTGATGGGGAGATCCAGTGGACTCTGTGAGCTGATTCTAGAGCTTCACTCTGTGACCTGGAAGATGGAAGTCCAGTTTGGATAACACAGGTTGGAGAACCTGTCCATAATGAGCAAGCATGAAGCGACAGTGGAGAGGAAAAACTCCACATTGAGAAACCTCTGGCAGAACCAGGCTCAACATGGCAGTCGTCTGCCAGACCGGTTAAAATGAGATGCAGAATGCAGTAAGAGTCTGGGAGGAATGACACTCTGATGAAGCTTTAGCTCCGATGGTGGAGGAGGAGCTGGAGGTGGGTTAAAACAGGGTCAGCTTAATGAAATCACACAGCGCAACCACCGCCTGCACACTAGGTAGCAGACAAGTTGCAGATCAGAGGCCTTTTAAGATGATGTTTGGATGCTGATTGGCTTTCATTGAGGCATGGTTCAAAGCTGATTGGCTGTGTTGCAGGTGGATGAAGGCAGATAATCAGTTTATTCTGTTGAACTACCGCCTAGGCTCCTTTTATCTAATCTTTGATTCAAATATTACCTAAAATTTGAAAATGCACAATTAAAAAAATTAACTAGAAATAAATTAATTTAGAAATTAATTGTATTACTTCAGTTTATATGTATCAATAGGGAGTAGTGAAGTAATTCTATGTATTCTATGTATCAATTCTATTCTATTTTTAGGGGGTGGCCAGTCGCTCACTTTCTTCTTAAGATCATGGTTTAAAAAAAAAAGAAAGAAATCTTAATTTGTGACGATTACATTTATTAAATGGTTTGAATGCCTTTATATTAGTCCAATATGTACTTAATCGTTTTCCCTTGTCGCGATTTAAGTAATTTATCATTCAGCTTTATTATTAACACATAAAGCTGCATTTCTTTTGTTTTTTTATGTGCTGATAAAGCACATTTGACACAGTTACCACATCCAAGCCAGCGAGCGTGTCTGGATGCTTAGTGCTCGCAGCGGTTCACATTTAGGTCACACTACTGCTGTATTATCACGTTGGTTACATCACCAACTTGATCTCCCCACTCAACCTCTTTTTACCCTCAGCCCTGCTCTCTGTAGATGCCTCTTTTTATCTTTACCTTAGAAGTGGATATTAAACGCACCTACCGGGGGGGGGGGGGGGGGGGGGGGGGGGGGTTTGGGTCACCCACACTATAAAAATTATCTACGGATATGTTAAAAAAGAAGGCCTAAATTAAGTATATTTTCCTTACATTTGAGTAGGTAAATAAGATGATTTGCCAATGGAATGAGCATTTTACCCATAAAAAAAGGTACTTAGATAATATACACTTCAAATAAGACAAGGAAATAGTTTTTTTCTTCTTTTAAATGTAAATTGTCTTGTCTCTTGTCTCTTTTACCTCCTCAATTAAAGGAAAAAATGCACTTATTTTAAGAGAAAATTACTTGTCTAGATTTTTTTCCCACCTTTTTCCCACTTCCCCTCCTGTTAGCTACTCTGACATCATGATCGAGCGCGAGATCCTCATGCAGAAGTACATCCACCTGGTCCAGATCTTGGAGACTGAAAAGATCGCAGCCAATCAGCTTCGCACTCAACTGGAGGACCAGGACACGGAGATCGAGAGGCTCAAAGCGGAGGTATGCATGAGTGCATCCACATCTGCGTGTGCACAAACCGCGCTCAGATGGAGCACGTTGAGATCAAAGCAGGCAAAATGCCCCAGGCCTGATGAAAAGACACTTCTGTCGAATTAAAACACAGCAGGCCTCCAATGATTCCAAGAACTGTTACTTCCCTATCTAGATGTTTATTTTTGTTGTAAGGGGTTTCATGAATATTTGATTCTTTGCACCAGTGCATCCACATACAAACTGTTGTTGTTGTAGATTGTGGTGCTGAACAAAGCCAAGGAGAGGATGCTGCCTTATCAGAACAACCAAGAAGAAGAGGACCCAGATATCAAAAAGATTAAAAAGGTAAAGCATTGTCACTGTGCTGCGATATGAAGGAATAAAAACAAAGAAAATAAGATTACAGAGGCCCATGAATTGTGTGACCATTGCAGGTGCAGAGTTTTATGCGTGGTTGGCTGTGCAGGAGGAAGTGGAAGATCATCGTCCAAGACTATATCTGCTCGCCACACGCAGAGAGCATGAGGAAGAGGAACCAGATTGTGTTTAACATGGTGGAAGCAGAGACAGAGTACGTCCACCAGCTCTCCATTCTGGTGAACTGCTTCCTCAGACCTCTGCGCATGGCCGCCAGCTCCAAGAAACCCCCCATAAGCCATGACGACGTCAGCAGCATCTTCCTCAATAGGTAAAAATACCCATCTTACTCCCAAAGAAGGGATCAGGGGCCCCCTGGGGGGTTCAGAGACACAGACTGAGGGGTCACAAATTAGTTTCACAGTCATTCTTGTGTTATATAGAGGGACAAAATACTTAATGAAATACATAAATGTGGATGGCCCTTGAAAGAGATAAATAAATGGGCCATGAAATAAGTTATGGAAGCTGATTTCTGCCAGTCTAATGAAAAAACATCACAATACATCAAAAACCTTTTAGGTTCAAGTTCAATTAATTTCCATCATAAATAGTTTTGATCAGAGAAACATGAGTATGTGAAGAAAAAACAAAAACAATATCAATGCTCAATTTAGAATAAAGCCTTGCTTCTTTTTTAGGACTTAAATACAAAACTGTCTTTTTATTTTTAAACAAACAAATCTCTCATATTGTAGGAATGGAAAAAGTACCGTAAGATACAAATTAATTTAAACGTGACAAGAGACGTTTGCATATGAACCAAACATTGTTTATTTCAGTAAAGAAGTTACAATACTCTAAGCCAGGGGTAACCGACTAAAAATCAGCAGGGTCCGAATAATTAAAATCATCCACCAGTAAAGGTCCAGTGACTTTTTTAATTATAATTTGTTACTTTAAACAGAATTTAACACTGAAATAAAATGAGGTGTTTATGCATCCATGTTTTATACATAAAAAAAAAAAAAAAACCATCTTAAAAAATCTAAAGTGTTTTTTGAAATAGAGAACAACAATCGTTCAGTTTGGTATATAGACAATTTCCTGATTCAAATATTTGATAAAACCCCTGAACTAAGAGTTTATTTATTTATTAATCTTTTTCTGTCTTAATGTTCGCAGTGGAGTTTATGCTGCCCTGCAAGGCTTTAAACCTGGGATTGAATGGAGACAAAGCCATTCTAAAGCACATATCAAGGAGCTCATTCTGAGCCTGGATTCATATTTATTTTTGATTCTGTTCATGGTGGAGAATCCTGCTTCATAGCAGCAGGTTGAGCCAAACATCCTCTAAATGTTCAGGGTCATCTTTGAGCATCATTTCACTTTTCTTTCACCAGTTCACCGCAGTTCTTCCAGCAGTCCACACTTTCTCTGCTCTCTTTTTCTCATCATCTTCTCCTTCTTTTCCATCGCCCGGCTTGCCACAGGTTTGCCTGCTGTGTCTAAAAGTAGCAGCAGCAGCAACCCAGACTGACAGCTCATTGGATAATTTGGATCACGTGCAGCCTGGAGCCGGACGCTCTGGAGGGCTTTACCGTATTAACAGGAGAAGCGGTGCAAGTGAAATTATGCAATGTCGTTGGACAACATGTGGTAATTTATATGTTTTAAATCAGGTTCGGACTGGATTAGCTAGCAGCTGGGTCCGGATCCGGACCGCGGTCCACTAATCCGTGACCTCTGCTCTAGGTGTTAAATCACCAAGAGTGTCCTTAGAGTAATGCAAATGAAACAATATATATCTTATCTACAAAATTGATCCCAAATAAATAACATTAGCACAGCGTTGGACCACAGCTTAATGTCAGAACAAAAAAGTGGCGCTGAGTTAAAGACCAGGTTAATTAGCAGAGATGGAGCATGTGTGGATGGAAGAGACTAGAAGGGAGCTAGGAGTAAGGAAACAGGCACAAGGGGGCAACAGAGAGCAACTAAAGACTGCATACATATACATAAAATAGAAAAGAAACGAAAGATCCAAAAGGGGAGAACCATAAACGGATCAATTTATTTGGTAATATACCCAAACCTGGACTACAAGCAGATCCAAAGGTACAGTAAGTGCAAGTGAAGCATTTGATAGGATTGTCAAAAACAAGAGTCCACAGCGATGAAAAACAAACTTGGATCTGAACAGTAGTTTTAGACAGATGTGTTTTTGGTTTCACTTTTTTTGTTTAAAATCTTTTTCTTGTTTTTTGCATTGTTAAAATAATTTTTCAGTTTCATTTTTTTCTTTCAGTTTCAAAAGGAATGAAACTGGCCCCAATTGCTATTGCTATTTTTTGTTTTCCACGTAAAAATAGTTCTATTTAATTGACTTCTACTTCTAGAAATAGGATAAAGACAGAGTAACACTATTTATATTGATTCTATTTTTTTAGATTTCCACACAGTCCATAAGTAAATTAGTACATTAATGTCTGGTAAATAATGCTGGAATCTGGCTGTTTATTGTGGATACTATTACAATACAGATAAGATAGTGCTATATTGTCTTTTATAATTGTTAAAAGGGATTTTATATTTGAATAAACTTAGGCTCATTCTTAGTGTTGTGTTTGTAGATGATGCCACTAAAAAAGAAAATAGACAAAAAGAGCTATTTAAACAGCCAGACAGTAAGCAATATAGGATGATGATAAAAAGTTATGTTAAATTTAATCCTTTGCTATTAAAAACGCACTTATATAATAGAAACATTATATGATTGTAGGAAACACAGATATGATGCAGGGCAGCCTCAGGGTGAAGCAGCTGCCCTTCAGTGCTGCATGATGGAAGAAATGTGTTTGGAATGTTACCCTAAAATTAGGGCTGCAACTAATGATTATTTTGCAAATTGATTCATCTATTGATTTTTTTTTTTTCTCGATGAACCGATTAATAATCAGATAGCTAAAGGGTCCTTAAAGCATGTTTTACTAAATTAAACCAGGTGAAACAGAAAGGTTTCCTCTTGAGGAGTTCTGGATGGAGAATACTGACAGAAAATAACTTTTTTTTATTTACCTTAAATGCAAAATGTTTATATATTTTATACATTCTTGGTATAATTCCTGCTCTAAGTGGGTCGCTCTGTCGGCTAAAGGCACATTTTAGTGTCCCTATAACAATTAATCAATTTATAAATTCGTTGAAGATTTTTTAAATAATCGATTGACATGATTAATTGTTTCAGCCCTAAATAAAATACATTAAAATGGGCGACACAGAGTACCTACAGTCCAGATGTACAACTTGTATGGTGAAGTCCATACAGTGTCAGTTCCTCTTATAGTTCCAGTGCACATGTTAATACAATTCAATCTGAAAAAGTCACACGAAGAGAAAAAAACAATTAGAAGAAATTTATTGATATAATCACTTTGTCTTTGGCGCTCAGACCTCGGCAGAAAACATAGCGCTAAACTTTGATAGATATGCATGAACAGGAGTAAAGAATTGGGCTGTTAAATGAATGAAGTTGGTCAGTCTGTAGACTGCTGGTTAGTCAGACGGACTGCGTGAGCTGATACTAGAGCTTCACTCAGGGACCTGGAAGATGGAAGTCCAGTTGGATAACACAGGTTGTAGAACCTCTCCATGATGAGGAAGCATGAAGCGACAGCGGAGAGGAAAAACTCCCCGTTGGGAAGAAACCTCTGCTAGAACCAGGCTCAACATGGCGGTCTTCTGCCGGACCGGTTAAAATGAGACAGGAAATGCAGCTTTAGCTACGATGGTTGAGGAGGGGCTGGAGGTGGGTTGAAACGGGGTCATCTGAAGGAAGTCGCACAGCGCATCCACCTCTTGCGCATGGGAGCAGCCAAGTTGCGGATTGGAGCCTTTTAAGATGAACTCTGGATGCTGATTGGCTTTCGTGGAGGTGTGGTTCAAAGCTGATTTGCTGTGTCGCAGGTGGATGTATGAAAAGCAATGAGTTTCTTCAGTTGAATTTCCACCTAGGCTCCATGAAATCAAACCTGCGGCCTTGATAAGTAGACACATTCACATTTAAACGATTCTTCACACAGAGTGAGTTTATTTTTTTTTTCTCTTTTGTTAATATCCTATCACTGCATGAAAAGTGAGATTTTCGTCCCCGTAAACTCCCGCAGATCTGCCTGATTTTCGTCAGTTTCCGACAATTTGCAACCCGTGCTTGTCCGCGTTTGTCGTGCCACAAATTGTCGGAAACGTACCGTGACGTATGTGGAGAGCGATCAGCTGTACTAATGGCCCTAATTAGCATATGAATGCAGCAAACCCGAGCGGCTGGCCAGGTCTGGCTTGAATAACCTTCTCAGTATTGGCTGAAACCACTATTCTCAAACAAGTGAAATCGCTCGTGATTGGCAGCAAAACCACACGTGGCCACGCCAGGCTTTAATTTTCTCACTGAGTATTGGACGGAACCACTTCTTTTTAAACAAGTAAAGTCGCTCGTGATTGGTTGGCATATATATATATTTACATATATATATTTATTCATATATATATATATATATATATATATATATATATATATATATATTCATATATTTATTCATTCATATGCTGTGTATTTATGTTATCCTACACTACTACACAATTATGCTACCATCAAGGACATGAATGAATTTATACAGGAAATGAAGATTTGCCAGGAAGCTGTTTATGCAAAGAAAGAGCTTTATTAAAATAGACACAACTATATACAACGCGTATCCAAACACATGCGTATCTAAAAATTACAACTCCGTGAACGGTCCGTTTGCTTCCTCGGGGTTGGAGGTAACAGGCAGCATTCCCTCCGAGGCAGGTCCGATGTGCAGACGCATACTGTGCGTGGCCCTGTACTTCGGCATCGCTTCTAACCGGGACTGCAGCTTAACACAGAGTTCAGTGAGATCCGGCCTACGAAATGGCGGCGACCGTACAATCCATCCAGAGACACCGCCAACGACGGCGGACTTACAGAGTTCCACTTCCTCATCTGCCAGCACACTCTGCCTCGCCTTCAGCAGCTGAAAAAAAAACAATGAATCAGCGCACTGCATATGGACACAACACATCTATCAATGCACCTGAAAAATAGTCACCAAATAAAGTCTTACCCTCTTTCTTCTGGCCCGACTCCGAGCAGATAGCCTGGCAGCCTCCGCACGCAGCGTGCTGGCTAGCAGCGTGTATCTGAAGCTCCTGCATACCGTCTCATAATACGTCTTACAGGCAGCTGGAAAACAATTAAATGAGAGTGGTATGAATAAAAAAAAATAAAAATCAAACGCAAGTCACAGTAAC